TGTGAGTCCAATACCTGGTTAAGGCAGTGGAGAACTTAGAGAAGTGAAACGAGATAACTGATAACTGACATCCATTAGACATGGCACCTGGAACAAGAACAATCTACCCCAGTGAGCGAAATAAAGGGTTCAGTCCGACATTCCAACCACCTAAAGAAGGCCGCAGCGTTCAACGTCCGAAACGTTGTAATAAATATGGCGGTAAAGATGAGGACAATATAAACAGAAGCATTCATATGCATTCATATCCAGTTTTCGTTTCAACTACATTCATTCTATGCATCTAAACATCTGTTTTAAAATCAGCCATTTTCATTATTCATTTTAGCATCGATTCCTTTGATATACAGTCGCTAATAGACTCGGATTATTCCCTTTTGGGTTTATTAATACATTGTGTGTCCCTCTTTCAATCCGATTCAACTTAGCCGAGAACCTATTTAGCAAAAGAGATGATGTCTTCTAAAAAGTAGTTTAAAATCCCCCAGGGAAACAAGCAAACAAAACGCGTTATTACAAAAAATCAATAACTCCGTATATTACAATTCATAAATTGATATTCATTCCTTATTTTACGAAATATATTGTCTCTCATTATTCGCTTCGACAGTATTTTATCAACAAAGTGTATTGATGTATACAGGACAGTCTTAAAAGTGACATCTAGAGTAAACGGAAGAGAAAAGTATCAAATCAAGGAGCAAATGGCAAAAATAAATACACTACGCAAGGGTTTTGCGCACCATTGCAGATTTCAAACAAACTTCAAATTTTCACTTTAATAAAAATAAATAGTCAATAAAATCAGCTCCCGCCAATAAATAAACACTGGCTTCTGGAGCCTACGCGAAGCCATAAAAGCCAAACTTTCATTCAACTCGACAGAAGGACTGGCAACATTGAAGAGACAGGAGTTAACCTCGTCGTCCTGTCTTTCTCATCAAAACAGCAACGGAATTCCTTTGATCTAGTCTCCCAACTCCATTTTTTCTTACTAACTGAAAAACTATTCATGTTCATTTCCTTAGAGTCAAAGAATAGAATTTTAAACTTTCATTTCCTGATAAGTAATTACAGTTAAAGTCCATGCATCTTACGTTTAAATAAAAATCATCATTTTAAAATGAGAGAAATAAGATTGCCACGTGATCAAACAATGATCACGCGGCAATCTCATTTCTCTCATTTTTTATTCAACAAACGTTGACCCACGGAATATTTCCCTAATACACATACATCTATCTTTTCCTGGCCTCACGTTTTCAAATGACTTGAACTGGAACAACTACACTGTATCAATTGCTACATCTACGGCGAGGAAAGTTGGTTCACAGAGTCGTGCGAGAAAACGTTTCTCGTCAGAATCCTTCTTGCACATTTATAAATCTACCATTCGTCCGTGCATTGAATACTGTTGTCATATCTGGTCGGGTGCCCCTGTTGTTCATCTCGAAGTTCTCGATAAAATCTAACAAGGATCTGTAATGTAATATGTCCTGAATTAGCTTCTGGACTTCAGACAGTTTTCACAGACACAATGATACTTCCCTCTGTCTTTTATACAAATATTTTCATGGTAACTGCGCTGACAAGCATTTTTCTCTGGTGCGCCGAATACATGAATTTAAGCGTGCTACTAGATTGGCATTTAGGTCCCACTCTTTTACTGTTGAAATAGTTCAATGTAACCGCCCTTAGTTACTATTTTCTGCAGAAAGTTAATTTTTCTTTTCTACACTAAGATACACCACTCCGTGTGTATCATTTAATACTTGCACTAGACGTTGCTACATGCGCAGCAGTAAGCTGCATCCTCATCAGGAAAAGATGGTTGAGTAAGGTATGCTTGGTGCTTTAATATCGTTTCTGTCAACAGTATTAACCTTGTTTTTTTTTCAAACCAGTCTCTATTGTTATTGCTGGGAAAAAAAGAATCTATCGGGCGTCGGTATTATGGTGTTTTTTAGGAACTCCCAAATGACTTCTGGGGAAGGATCTGTGGAACAGCTGGGAAGCTCGATATCGGCCCGGAAATCATCTTTCTGGTCGGCTGATTGGTGGGTGTTAATCTGGAGTTTATTCCATGGAGGACCTGTCAGAGTCGTGAGTCTGAAGTGGGAATTTTGCGGCGAATTTGGACATGACACTAGTGAGAGAGAGACATGCTTGAGACCTTTCTATCACACCAGTGTGTAATATACCAGGTATCAGGTATCGTTCTTGGGACGATGATATATCCAGTTTGTCTTTACGCTGTTTTTCTCTTGAAGGATGATGGCCTTGTTTTTTTTTTGTTTTGTTTTTTTTTGTGCACAGAAGCCGGCCCTTTTCATTATAGATGCCAAAAGTGTAGAATAACCGTGGTTAAATGTAAATAAATGACAGGGCTGTCCAACAAACAGGATTGACCAAGTTTGCAATAAGCAGTAACAAAAGCAAGAAAAGGAAAAAATGAAGAAAAAAAATAGTATAAGCCAATTAAACAATATGTGTATGGCAAATTAACAGTAATAAGGCAAATAACAGTAATAAGGCAAAACAACAGTAATATACCAAAAAGTTCACTAAAAATTGGTGTTGATACACAAGAGCAAATTCGGATAAACGACCCTAGCATTCTGATTTCAAGACAAGACAGACAAGGACTGAGTCATATGAAACCGAGAACTAGCCATTTTTATTGATCTCAGCATGCAGTTGTGTGTTTCTACCTATAAATTGGGAAGGAGAATGTGTTTTGCATTCATCCCCGATGGCATAACATGAGTATTTTAGTAGGATTCCTGTAAGTATGTGGTATCGTGGTATATGGTTGAGCGAAATGAGATGGATGAGTTCTTGTAGTGTTTAAGTATTTGTAATCGACGAATGGGCCGTGTATCTGATTATCTAGGTATAGGATAGTGAGTGAAGTCCAGCCTCAACACTCTTCTTCTTCGCCTGCGTGCCAAAATGGTAAAAATTCTAACAATAAATAAACATTCTCAGCCGCATTGGAACCAACAAAAAGCATGTTTGGAAGCTACACCTTTACAGATTCTTGAAATCTCCGTCTATGGTGACGTTGAATTCAACAAGGAAGACGATTTTGTCATCTGAAGGGTGCGTTCTACAAGAGATTGCGCAGGTCAACGTAGAACTTTACCTTTTCCGCAAACTCTGCGTGAAGCATTGTAAAAAAAAAGGAAGAGTGTGGTTTGATGGTTGCTACATATTGAGAGGCGCACAGAGAAAATGCAGTCAGACTGACCTTTTAGTAGGAGTCTCCCGTTGGACGCGATCGAGTTTCTGACAAAAAAGTGCCCCTGAAAGATGCTCGTTCACTTTTTTGGCTGGCCTGAGCAGTAGAGTTTGTAACCGGTGCCATTTTCACGCGGCCTGTCTTTCTTACTTAAAGTTATAATGGATAGGAATTTGTGAAGAAACGTTATCATCCTAAAGGGACACGGTAACCTCATTATATTACTAATATATGACATTCTGTTTCTAATCATTACTACACCGCCAATATCATATTGCTTGTATTGAATTTACACAAAAGGTGGGGGGATTGTTTTTAACGAGCGGCTTGTTTGTGTGGATATATTTCAGTTAAATAAAGAGTTACTCGTGAAAGTGCGAGTGGCGAAAATTTATTTGTACGGAAATGGACTTCAACGAGATCAGTTCAAATTCCGGTTTTACCTGTTGCAGTCACTCTCGCACAAATCGCCCGTGCCACTGAGAGCAACAATGTTAATCTACAGACTAGAAAGATGACGGGATTCTTGTGCGATCGTCGTTCCGAGCAACTGTTGTCTGCTTCATCATAAAAAAGTCCAGACACCTTTTCTTCTTTGGTGATCTTCGACCGTGCATACGAATGCCTGTTGACTGTGGCAGA